AGCTAAAAACTTGTCGAGCACATTGGCAACTGCATTGAAACATTAGCAGTGATGACATTTTTGCGGTTGCTCCGCACCCTCCCCGCGCCCTGTCTACCCCGGCTGTACCCGGCTCTACCACACCCGCTCGTCTGGCTCTGCGCCTGCGTCTGCGATTCATCTGATGCCGCTTTGTTTTGGGCCGTTCGTTGGCTTTAAGAGCCTTAGCTTTTTGGCTGGCTGGGTTTTTGGGCTTTTTGCCCTGTTGGCTGAAATTCCTGAAGACGCGACACTTCATACATAATAAAAGTGGATCGCCGAACGACGCGTCGATCGCCGCTCGTCAAAAGTCAAAAGCCTTGTCACACACTCGATCCGCTGCACATTGAGCCAGGGCTTAGGCATTGATGCAAACGCTGCTTTGGGGTTTTGGGGTTTCGGGTATGGGACAACTTCTTTGTTGAGCCATCACGGCGGCATTTGTAGGGCTTTCTTGGCTTATTAATTGTAGCCTTAGCCTTGGACTTGAAGTCGGAGACGGAGTCGGAGCTGTTGGACATCGGCTGCGTTTTATTCACAAATGAATGCACAAATTTCGGACAGTCGCCTGCGGTTAGAGTCACAGACAGTATGACGCTTGGCCAAGCAGCACAAAGCCACAGAGAAAAAAAAAACCCAAGCTAACTCGTATTCGTATTACTCAGGTGAGAGCGCGGCTAATGAGCCTGGCGAGCATCCTTTTTTGCTTTGCTTTGCCACGAAAACTGGAACTCAGACTGCCATCCGACCATCCAACCGAGCCACGGAGCAACCGAGCGACCGACCAGGCCAGACAAACAGACACCCAAAACCAGTTCGACTTTTTGACTTAATGCCTATAAAATTATAGGTCTTTCGAAACCAACTGGAAAATTGTGCGGGGCGTTGCTGTAGAAATTAATACAAATGCAGCCAGCACAAAGCATTTTCTTTTGCCCTGACCCTCCCTATCTCTCCCCCTCTCTCACTCTCGCTTAAGTGGAAAATGCCCAACAAATAAGTATTCAAAAAAAACAGTAAAGAAGAGAAAGAAACGATGTCTAACAGCCAACACGCCCCAGGCAATCACGCAAAATGCCAAATTACATGTAGCTACCATTAACAGAACGAAATCATCTAACACGCAGAGCCTCCAACTTGGCCGGGGCTGCAGCGCAACAAAAAAAAAAACAATATAAAGAAAAAAGAAGTCATTTAAGGTGTTTTCCACAAGTCGTACACGAGCCCGAGAAGGAGCAGCAGACCCAGACCCGCTCACGTTGCCGTTGCTCTGTTTCAGGCTCGCACAGCTGCCAGGCAATTCGATCGGGGCCAGGTCGACGCTCAGGTTTCGGGCGCAGGCCGCAGATTGGGCCAGGCTCGAGCTGGGGCAGTTCGCAGATCCTTAACTGCAACTGCTGTGCACTGCAGTTGACACTTGAGCAGAGGCGGAGGCGTGGACGGCCTCCTAAGCGGCTTACACGTGCCACGGCTATATACATATTTCTGTGTGTGTGTGTGTATGGGTAGAAATGCTTATGAATAAAATGCAGCCACGAAATACGAGCGGGCTTCTCGATTTACATGCAATGATAGCCAGGATTCGGTGTCCTGCGAGTCCTGCATTGAAAGTCACAAAAATTCGCGCACGTTTCACACACTTTACGCACTTAAGAGTTACGCTTAAAGCTAAAGGCCAAAGCATGTACAATAAAGGGAGAGGAAGAAAAAAAGGAGGGATTGGGCGAGAGAGGGAGCGAGCTATTGCTGAAAAAAATATTTATATCAACTAAAATAGCTCTCTCTCTCTCTCTCTTTCCATCAACTGTCTCCATTTATCCATCGGGTGCATCGATCTTTCTGTGGGTTGCTCCGGCTCGATCAAGTCAGTGAGTTCTTCCAAGATCCCGTTGAGATTGGCCAGCTAAATGCGTTGCCTTATAAACTAAGCCTCAATGTCGTAAGTGGATTAAAAAAACATTCCGTTTACTTTTCAAATATACTTTTTTCATATATTTATTGGCTAACTCTTTAAACGTTACTCTGTAGTTGTTGTTTCTTAATTCATTTTCGTTTTTCTTTTAATTATATTATTAGTATACATATAAATAATTAAAAATATTACATTAAAATGTATTCGTATATCGTATAGAAGTTGCTGCTTGTTTTGTTTATCATTCATATAATTTTTGTTTTCGTTTTCTTTTTGATTGCGTTTTCTTCTCTGCTAAGATCATTACAATAAGTTTTCGTATCGTGTTTCTCATTTTACAATTTTGCTAAAAACTAAATAAAATTTGTTTCGTGAAACAATAATAAGAATTTATGCAATTAGACACACACAGAAAAGGAAAACTCAATTTTATGCATGTATATTTTATATATACATATTTCAAAAATAATAGCAAAAAGCATCTCAATTATTTTTCAAATATATATATATTTACGTATATGTTTGTGTTGCGTTATTTTTATTTATATTTACTTGTGTTATATTTTCATAAAATATCACCTAAAGCAATTACGTATTTCAGTTTCAGTTTTGTATTTTGTTTTTTTTTTTTTTTAGTTTTTTCTTTTTCTTTTTACATGACAACAATAAAAAATGTTCGCTTTGTTTGCAAAACGTTCAATACTAAAAAAAAAAACTAATAGTAAGAACAAAAGCATTAAACAAAGTGTTCAACAAAATGCAAAAGCCCCCAAAAATCATAGGAAACAATTTGTTGCAGCCAATTTTGCAACAGCTTATATATATATATATATATATTTATAAATATATATAGTATATGTTTTCTTGTATATTAATTATTATTTTTATTTTTTTCTTTCAACTAAAAAGCAACTAAGATCGCTTGGCCACAGATTTATGCTAAAATTATATTATAATTACAGCTTGTATTCACTTCGTATGGTTTTTTGTTGTTTTCAAATAATTGTTTGTATTATTTGTGTGTTTTTTTTTTTTTTTTTTTAATTTTTAAGAGACAAAGTACAACAACTAGTTTTATTTATTAATTATTATATTGTGTTGGATTTTTTTTTGTTAGCAAATTTACTTATTTGCAAGGTTTTTTGTTTGTTTATTCTTAAGTTGAAAAAATAGTACAAAAGCTTTGACATATTCTGATTTTTTTCTGTTTTCTGTTT